AAAGCTGTATTCTTATGGAAGGTGTATGTTGTGGAAGTTGCCTTCATATGAGAAGTGTCTGCCTATAAAAGCTGTAGCTTATGGAAGGTGTATGTTGTGGAAGTTGCCTTCATATGAGAGGTGTCTGCCTATAAAAGCTGTAGCTTATGGAAGGTGTATGTTGTGGAAGTTGCCTTCATATGAGAGGTGTCTGCCTATGGAAGGTGTATGCTTAAAGCAACTTTCAGCTTATGGAACGTGTCTGATTATTTCATGTGCCTAGTTAAGGAAGGTGTCCCCTTTATAGGATATATCTACTTGTGTGAGATGTGCACCTATAAGAAATGTATTATTGGTAAACACCCATCATCAGTAATGTTAATGGTTCTATTTGCCTGGAAATCATAGAGTGGTGTGCTCATGGAACTTACCAGGCATTTGTTCTGTTTCACCCATGTGAAAACTCCAATCACTCCAGTTATACCAAACTGTTGAAAAACCACATCAGATCATTTTGCTGTGAGCAATTAAAAACAATTAAAMAATCTGTTGTTTTGCATTCAACCATACAATTAGCAGGGATTCAGRCTATTTTAATCGATTGTAGATATAGAATTTGCACTGTAGTGCCAATCAGTGAGCACCAGACGCCCCCACCCCACCCCCGAAAAAAGATATATGACTGAATCTCAGTTTCCCACTCCTACAAAGTTCTCCATAAGTCGTAATATTCGCTTCTCGATTTTTCGGTTTGTCGCTCAAACTAGCGACTTATCCGTCCGAGAGCAAAAAAAAAAAAAAAAAAAAAAAAAAAAAGAGCGACCTGACAGACTGGTGGAATCAGTCTAACCTTTCTAATGTGTAGGTAACTATTTTCAAAATTGAAATAAAGACGTAACGTTGTCAGCAAGCTACAACAATGGAAAAAAATGAATGAGACTCTACCAAGAAAAACTAATTTTTGATTGTAACACAGTTGTATACATATTTTGGGACATTTTGCGTTTCAAGCCGCGTCCTAAAAAAAGTGTTGGGCTCTCCAGAGGCACAAACAAACATGAACCGTACTCCTATACAACTTGAAATAAAGGTTCTTGGCAGCATACCCCGTAAGAAAGTAGCATTTTTTGTTGTTGATATACTAGGGGGTCTCATATTTTGTCCACCGTTGTAGTCATGGACTGATTTTTGCCGATATTTGTATGGCTTGAGGAATGCGGGGGGAATAAAATTCCGCTTTACCGCTCATTACAAATCATGGCGTTTTGTGTGAAAATATRGAGTCGACGTTCTGTTTCTTAGTCGGTGCGCCGGGAATATGCATTGCAATAAAAGTATGATTACAGTTACAATACATTTTCTTGTGTACAAAGTCAACGCGAAGGTATTTYATAGGAAAATTTGTTGTCGAGTAGTCTTTTTAACTATATTAACTGACAGCACTGAGTTGCGTAGCAACAGTGCTTTGTTCAGTACTATATTATGTACGATAACTCTTGATACAGCCGATCTTGAAAAGTTTGTCCACCTAATAAGAGGACATTTCTAATGTCCCGCTATGTAACTTATGTGAAATATTCATATTCTGTCCATGKAAAATGACCAATGACAAGGCGTTTTTAACATGTTATATGAACATTAAAGAATATTCCACGTGAAGAGAAACTGAATATACACCTACTTGCAGAAACGTTGTCATAGGAAATAGGACATTTGTATTTAGTAAAAAGGAATAAATTAAAACAAGACAAAAGAAGATCACTGAGGCTGAACGCTCTCTTTTGTCTTGTTTTAATTTATTCCTTTTTACTAAATTCAAATGTTCTATTTTCTATGACAACGTTCCTGCAAGTAGGTGTATATCAAGACACGTGATAACTGGAACTTTTACAAGTTCGACTTTAGTGAATTTGCATAACCACCGATTTCCTTTGCGCATGATTGAATTCAAAACTTGTAGTCCAAAACGTCAATGTATGTATCAGTTCTAGCCGATATGCAGGATCGGTTCCAGTTATTAAAACCTACTTTAATTTGATTTCTTCAAATCGCAATCTTGTAGTTTATGAAAAAACTTAAAAGAGACAAAAGGTTATGAGGAAGACAATTTTTACAATGAAATAAAATGTCTGTCAGCTGTGATCTTTTTTTGTTTACCACATCATATATTGTTTTTTACTGATAAGGGACAGTTTCAAAAGCAAGTGCAAAAACATAGACTACTTAATCATCAGCTGTATCGAGTGAAGCCACACTCGAAAGCATAATGCTCTTGAATACTCCATTCAAACAAGTATTTGAAGAATGATTACATGATCAAACTATCAAARAACCCATATTTTGTTTTTAATGGTTTTTGAGAGTTTACAATTCAAAGTCTGGTTAGTTTTTTACAAGTATTTTTTTAGTTAAATGTTTGCCCTGAACAATATTCATYGTTGAGATTTAGCCCTTTTTGTGTCCATATATATTTAAGATGTCGTTTTTCTTTTTCTCGGTTTTTGACTAGTCGGCTTAGTATGTTTTGTTTTAGGTGAAGTTAATTTACGCGCAATGAGATTAAAAGAAACGAAGCAGAATCCACACTGTCAAATCCGTTTGATTTGATATTTATTCACAAAGTTTGTGCCTTCTTATAGATGTAGTGACATGAAGTGCTTTTTTTTAGCATTGAATTTGTACATTATCAACCAACTTTTGGTGTCTTACCAGTAATCCACTCCAAATGCCCTGAGCATCTTTGCCACCATAAGTTACCCACACAATTCCACATATTAATGTGGCCAAAGACAAGATCAAGATTAAAATGCCAACAATTCCGGCTGATTTWGCATGSCCTSGAGTGATTTGCTCTGCCATATTTAGTCACAATCCTCCGTTTTCAGTACGGTCGCTATGGCTCGGTATTTCGGTATAGAATATGAAAATTGAATTATCGAACCTTTTACATCACCATAGTGATGATACAAACAAATGTAAATACATATGGCTAGACACCCAATAAACAGAATTGTTGCTGAATTGGTGATGTAAATACCGATCAAAATAAAAGCTAAATTCTTAGTTTAGATAGTTTTAAACATGTAATTGGCCGGTTTGAAGCTACTTATATTGAAACCCTTTAAATTGAGAGTACTTGTTCGACAAATCAACCAATATGTTGAAACTGATGCAAAGTCCTATTCATTGTAAGTTAGCACAGCAAGTGCACCAAGCTTTATTCTTTATTCAAATGAGATACAATACGCATTTCATTATCAAAGGATTTTCTCCATAGCAGCTTAGTCAATGTASTCAGTATAGAACAGGGGACATTTCGCGTCACTAAAACGTACTAAATTTGCGTAAAAATAGTGGTAGTTTTTACTAGATTGAATATTTTGCTATAAAACTCTATAAGTATGTTGTTAAGTGCCTTAAGGCAGATAAATTATAATGACTTCGGTATATTCATTTATATGTAAAAAGGTGAGTGGTTTAAGAGAGGATATTTAATAAGTTAATTTGCTAGGATCACCATATTATGGTATATAAAACTATTTCTAAAATACTTAGGATACTACGCGCGCTGTGATTGGTCGAAAACCATGTTTGATTACAGTATCAAAACACGCTCGCGCGCGTCAAAAATTTCTTTTATTCTTTTAATTTTAGAAAAGAAATAAAAGACGGAATTCCGTGTTTGATACTCTGATCAAAACACTTGGGATGTAGGGAGAGCACTCGAAAAGCTGGAAACCACTCCGCTACGCGTCGTGGTTTCCTACGCTTCTCTCGTGCTCTCCCTACATCCCGCGTGTTTTGATCAGAGTATCAAACACGGAATTTCGTCTTTTATTCCTTAAATAATGAATTAAAGACACAGTCTTGTGCATGTCTGTTTTAATACAACAAGTCCTAAGATTATACATATATTCAGTGAAAAACGTTACATATTGAACTGAAAATATTTACAATTCACATCATTTCGTAGGAATTTCCAGCAGGTAGGAAGGAGCACTGCTCCAAACGCTGTTTCCTCTACATGATGAGCGGAGAAACGTGCAAGGAAAACCAAAMAATAATTTGATATCACACAATTACATATTAGCAGAAAGCATTATAGAATGCAATGTAGTCTCAATGTGTTTTTACTTCGATCTTAGGTAAAAACACAACTGTGTATTCRACCCTTAAAATGCATCTGCAATTCATTGAATCCCGAATTAATGTCTAGAGCGATMATACTTTTTGCACATGAAACTATTTTAATATACAGTAAAACAATCAATATATCAACAAAAAGTAGAGTCTGTATGCTAATAGCACGAAAAAGTATTTGTCAAATAGTGCTAAATAAATAGTGTAAATTTAGTAGATTCAAGAACAGAAAACTAAAGAATTACTCAATTAACATATTATTACTATATTAAACATATTATTAAACAGTGCAATACAGCGTAATAAGATGTATTTCACGGGATCTTTGCTTCACCCTATTCTAATTTTGTAGAATTTTGTAATTTAATTAGTTACTATTTCACGGTATTAGCATTTGTACTCTTATAAAAATTTTCGCGTTTTACATTTCACGATTCTAATCTTTATTGTTAGCACCATTCGGGACATCCTTGAGTATACCTGCAYGGTTACTGTTTTTCAACCATGACGACTGCTGTTTGAGTCTGAAAATAGAAATAACACTTTAGGAAAAGAATCACTGGGATTAGAGATTGCCAGATTGCTTCAARATAATAATCTTAGCATTCTATTGATTAGTTTATGTCCGCATTGCTTTGGATTTTCGGTGAATCGGACAACGTCTTTGTGCCGCGGCTCTTTTGAAAAAAGAAAAAAAACTTCTCAATAGCCGACTTGCGAATTACGCATCAATAGTCACATACAAAGGAATCAAGACGAGGCGCCGTGCTTTTTTGTGAAAAATCTATTGTCTTTAGCACGGCGCCTCGTCTTGATTCCTTTGTATGTGACTATTGATGCGTAATTCGCAAGTCGGCTATTGAATTGTGGATTTTTTGATATCATTTAGCTGCTTTGTTTAAACCTCAAACCAGTGAGATCCATTCTTCTCTGCTTTTAGTATTGAATTGATTTGTTTGAAAAGAGGGCAATTAACGTTTTTAGCTCGTTATTTTTTCAACATTAASATGGATAATACTTACAGGAGTTTTAGCACAGCACGTTCCCATGCACCCAATGATGGAACCAGCAAAGACAAAAATGGTGGCCAAGCCATTTCCAATCAATATACACAACCAAATGGCTTCAATGGCACTGATCCATGAGCAGTCCTCCACTATAAAAGAAAATAAGATTACATCGTCTTACAGGAAATTCTTTGTCATTAACCAAGGCAAATCACTGAAGGCTAGGGATAATTTATTCTTTACAATTTGACCACAGTCGTAACCTTTGAAGTTTTTTTGTTTGTTGGGTTACCATGGTATCAGTGTTGAAAAAGACAGCTCCAGTTTTAGGAGCACTGAAAAAATACCAAGTCACTTACGTTCCAACGGAATCTTGTCGCTTCCACAGTCGCACTTGCCAGCTTTAATCGTGCATTTGCTCTCAATGACAGCTTTCAGGATTTGCCATATAAGGAATGCAAGACCTGCGATTACGCATTGGACGATGCTTGTGATAATGGTTATGATACATAAGACCAAGAAACCGATCAACTGAAAATAAAAAAAGGCCAAAAAATTAGCATTGCTTTTGGGTTTTTGGTTGAGCTTTGGATTTGTAATGYAGGCAATAGTTTAACCAATAATATTGGAACTTTGATCTCATGTAGGATCCGGCACGCCTATCACTTAAAGATTCGCGTGCACTGTTATGCAATCTTTTCGGTTTGATTTAATGTTATAAAAGAACCGACTTACCGTTCCTTTGCTCCTTTTAGGCCAAGTAATGATCCCAAGGATAGCKGTAGGCAAAAGCTAAAATGATAAGGAGCTATGTTAGCTAAAATGAGTTGCAGTTATTCAACGATTTTCTCAGATTGCGYAGAGTCAACTCCATACGAAAACTTCTATAAAATCGAAAGTTACTGGACTGGGGCAATTAATGGAAATCAACGACGTGCTGCTAAGCAACTATTGAGTTCAACAAACTAACAGACAAGTGTAAAACAAAAATCAAAAACTAAATTTCTTTTCCATTCATGGAATTGTTTCTTAAGTGTTTATTCTTTTAAGTAAAGTTAGTTTGGATATGATAACGATGTAACTATTTACAAAACATTTAACGTTCAAGCGAGCACAGAGGGAAACCTAATCAAACCGACGGAACTGATTTTTAAGTTGAACTTAAAGGAGATCCGGTACGTAAAGTGATGATTAATTAGGAAAAAGCAGGCTAGAAAAACATTTTAAACTGAATAAGGTCTTCGAGAAGCAAAACGCAACTTACAAGTATTCCCGGCCATATCCCAGATGCATCGCTCCCTCCGTATGTAACCCAAATGATACCACATATAAGATTAAGAAGAGCCATCAACAGAACAAATATTCCAACAATTCCAGCCGCTTTGGCATGACCTGGGGCAACGTCTCCCATCTTTAAAGTTTTGATTAGAAATTGGCTTGCGGTTTCAAGGACTTGTTACGTCTTCATGAAATGAATTGTGAGCTTCTGGGCAAAAATTAAGCGTTTTTATCCATCCCCTGGGCCTGTCGTCATGGGAACGCTACAAACATAATTTTGCCATTGTTGTACACCATTTTGTCATGCAAATATRTTATTTGTGATTGAATATTTTATTATTGTATTTGATCAGTAAGACCACTTAACAATGTAACACAGCAAGGCTGCTCGTCAAATATCCTTGACATAAGTAATCTCTCTCTTTAAATACTTAGTTTTGAATTTCGATATTTTTGATTTTCAATAATGGACCCGAAAAAAATTCATCATGGGGAAAGTGGTTGKKTTTTTTTACTGGTCACGTGGGCATGAGCGTTTGTCATGGAAACKAATAATACATTCTAAAAATAGGAAATATACGCCAAMGGTAGCTTGTATGTTTTTGCAAAGTGTTAGCGTTGAGGTGTTCTGTTTTACACACGCCTACGAAACATAATTAATTCATCTGTAAGAAAMTTTTCTTGATAACTGTATATATAGTCTTACTTTCCTGGGTCTATTGCCCTTTAGAAAACTTAAAAAAAAAACCAGCAAACAAACTAGCTCTTATAATTCCGTCAAAAATTGATTAAAAAAATCAAATATTAAAATCAACTTTGATTACAGTTTCAAGTTCATAAACTAAGTTCAGTGTTCAATACAACAATTGTTCAATACCGAATCTCGCAATGCAAATTACTCCAATCTTTTGTTTTTGATCATGTTTAATTTAATTTACATTTACAAAAGGTTCGGTAAATATCAGATTTTTGCTGTGCTTTGGTATTTTCAGAACATTGTTGAAAAATATTCTTTTTCTCGCTTGAAAATACACATATATACTTGCTTTGAAGCTTCTATTCGGGCATAAGTTAGTAGATGATTCGCGTTTTCAATGATAAATGTTACATGACGCAGGTACTGTGAACTAGATATAACCAGAAAGTTACAGGAAATTTACACAAAATACAAAATCATTATAAACCTTTGAGACTTGATCGGGGAATACTTTCATTTCGACAAATGATGCAAAATTTTTAACGCATAAGCCGACTCGATCGAGTTAAAAGATTAAAAGATTGGATAGTTAGCACAAAGTTTGATATACGAGAGAATGGTCTAAATCGACAATAGGATAGCTGTAGTCAAGACAGACATTATTTTTTGTTTTGTAATTCTTTCTATAATTTGCGGATCGCTACTTTTGCCTCTTTGATTAAAGTTCAGAATTTTATGGCAACATTCATTAGTGAATTTTTCAAATTTCGCAAGTGATGATTCTTTGTTTCAATTAATTTATCCGGCGAAAAATAAGACACAAATCACAGTGAATCTGAAGGAATGAGAATGCAGACGAAATCCCAGCAGTATTTTGTTTACTGGTATCAATTAAGCCTGCTATAGTTTTAGTTAATCTTTGATTTAATTTCCAGCTATTCATAGCAGTTGTAATCCACTCCATGACATCATCGCGGCCATGTTGTATTGTATTAAGATATAACAAAGCATTTGACTTAAGTTGTTTTTATTCAATCGTTATTCARATCCTATGAAATATAGCGACAAAGGCTGCATTCTTTCAATTCCCATGGGACTATTGTTATTCGGTTGCACTCTATCCTGTGGTCACGTCTTGTCTCATAGACACGGTSTAGATTCTCCCGCAGYTTTTCTCTTTGTACATGCTTCGTCGATTCRATTCGATCCTTTTTGTATTTTTGCYAAAACCTATAATCGCCTAACGCTGTATCTAAGTCATTCTCACCAGCGGATCAAACTTCAACCTCCTCTTGTTAGGGTAAAAGGGTGGAGACTGAAGGGATGTTTTGATTGGTCAAGAGGTCTGACTGAATGAAGCTTTATTGTTGGACACATTCGCTTGTATCGACTTATAGGCCTAGTAGTTCAAAGAAGATAGTGCAAGATAAATTTATCTATGACAGTGCAATTCTATGATACTATACTAGAGTGCAARCACTAAAACTGTGCAACATAATTACCACTATAGATACTGCTAAATACTGCTAATTCTATTGTTTTCTATTGCTTAATTAACACTATTTTGTAGCAAATAGTGGAAAGTGTTGCACACATTTAATGTTTGTACTCTACAAAATGCTTATTTTCATGGCCTACAAACTTTAAGAAGACAAATGGGATCAGGRTTTGCTGGAGCTGAGCTTAATGGAATTACGCCTGCTAGAGTCTATCACTATTGATTGTTCTTTCACGTTCACAGTCCCTCTTTACTAATCCATCTCATCTCGGGATAGGGGAAAAGAACACAAGAGGTTAATTTCGACCAACAGACATGCAGGAAAACATCACTGTTTATTGTATAATCGTAATGTAAATATAACTTTATAATTTTACACGGCGAAAAATGCAATACATTCACTGTACATCTCCTACAATATAAATATAAATTGATTGAATGTTGATCATTACGKTTGCGATACGAAATGATAACGTGCTGCATACCGTGAGCAAAGCTTCTTTCGTGCGCGGATGGATGCCATTAATAAATTGTTTAATTCAATCTATATAATGAAAATCTTTGATATAACWAGTGACTATTAAATAGCCCTAATAACTTTAAAACTGCCTTCCAGTAACAAAGGCCGAAAAAGCCCCAAAATAAGAAAAAATCTTTATACTAGGAGCTCAAATACAGCTGTAAAAAAGTGAATAAAATATTCCATTTCGAAGGGTCAAACTAACATGGATTTAAAGCTCGTATAACAGCCATTTAGTTCCAAGAAAAAAGCTAGGAAAAAAAAAACTCAAGAATTTGTGCTTTTCATAGTTCACTATGTATTAGTATAATGTCGTGATGTAAAAATACAAAAAGGAAAGAAAGCCGAGAACAATCAAACATAAATGAGAAAGAGTATAATCTTAGCGGGATGCGACAAAATGAAGGACAACAACTATAGTTTTGTGCAGCCATTCAGTGATTTGCATGGTACAGTTGGTTTGCCTAGGCCTTTTGTGCCATTTCCATGCCCTGGTTGTAGCCAGGTGGTGGCATGGCTCCTGCTGGTGGGTATGGTTGCATTGGTGCTGGTTGTTGGACGATGACAACTCCTCCTTGCTGTGGCTATAAAAAAGCAAACGACATCAGTTTCATATACTGTCATTACAGTGTAGTCCTGTTACTAAATTGTTGTATAATTTCTGGCCATGTTTCTTGTTATTAAATTGCAATGAGATTTGCACAATCATGTTTACTAACAATGGTACAGTTWACTATTTTACTGGGCCATTGACATATCAAACCTGTATAGCTTACACTTTTAGTAAGTTTCGAATGATAGAAGTGTAATGTTTCAAGGCTGATAATGAGGACAGAAAAGACAATGATTGCTAAACACTTACAGGTGGGCTTGAAGCACAACATGTCGCCATGCATCCAATAATCGAACCAGCAAATACAAAGATGGTGGCCAAACCATTGACAATCAAGATGACCAGGAAGATGGCTTCAATGGCGCTGATCCAAGAACAATCTTTTACTAAAATGAATATTTATACTCAGATCACAGAATAAGTTAAAGGGTTTGTACGCTAGACATTGAATTTGTAGCGACGGCGGAGCATATTTGGTTGTTTTTGGCGGCGGGTGTAGGGAAAGGGTTGCTAAYGACCACCAAGTKAGACAGGCTCAAGTAGGGGAAACCAGGACAATTTTGGTATTTTGAAATTTCGATTTCCAGCATTTTGAGGGGAGCAACATAATAAAGCTTACTTTTCACACTCTTCTAAAGATCAAATAGGAAATAGATAAAAAAATAGAAGGTAACCATTGTCGAGTTCCAAATGCATCTGAGCTAGATTTAAAAGTATTGGACATTATTAAGCTATGGCGATTTTGTAGGCGGATCGTAATAACGTTCCGCAGGGTAGATATCTTTTTTTTAAACCATCGCTTACATTCCATAGGAACGTTCTCGCCTTGACAATCACAACGATCACCCACAATCTTGCATTTTGTCTCAATGATGGCTTTCAGGATTTGCCATATAATGAAGGCAATGGCAGCTAGTGCGGCCTGCACAATGCATGTGATGATGTCAATGATGCAGATAACAAGGAAAAATACCATCTGAAACGGTAATATTTTTGATTTAATACATAGAGTATATTTCAAAGTATACCCGGTTACTTGTAACRATTTGTTTGCCTGTGTCAGGAGCGTCCACGATTGGTAACATCGTTTTCATGAACGTGTCTAGTTTTAGATTTTTTTCTCGGCCAATGAGCAGTCACTTCCGGTATAACGCACGCACGGCAAATCCGCGGGAGACTCATAAAATCGTAGATGGTGGATGCCAGGAGATCGAGAGCGAATTGTCAGTTCTAGTTTTTATGAAATAAGTGTTAGCAAAGACGCTCCTACCCCTCCCTTCAGTTGAAAAAATTGAAACCCCGCTGTCTAGAGGGTTCATGTAATCAGGTGCTAAGAGTTATGGTCGGTTACATATAGTGTGGTGACGCGATACGACTGTGGACTGGTATTATTTTATTTTTAATTAGAGCGGATTTCGTATGAGTGGGACACCGTTACCGCACGGTTACCGCACAGTTACCGGACCTGACCTGCACAATTTTGGTGAATCAATGGGGCACTAGAATTTGGTTACAGTACGATTACGGTCACAGTACAGTACCGTCCGTTTCCCACTCATACGAAATCCCCTCTATTATTTGTGCTCTTTCATTCAGCTAATACTTACAATTGTTTTGTTCTTTTTCACCCACACAAGGATGCCAAGAACACCGGCCACGGCAAGCTGAAGGAAAAACAACAGCATGTCATACACTATTACGGGCAGTATGTTTAAAAACATTCAGTTTTAACCAACAAAGTTGTAAAACTTGGGAAATATTTGGTGGAAGAGCACCAGATTTATGAACGCATCATTTTTTTTTGAAAATTTGTAGGGTTTTCAATGAACGTATCTTTACATATGTAGATATTGGTTTCATCGATCTAGGAATATACAATTGAGCCTCCGTAACTTTATTAGTACGAATCCAGATACGTGTCGACGTGGCCTTTGGACATGCATGGGATACTCATATGACTTACACATACAAAAAGAAAAGCAGTTCGAAAAATACATTTATTACCGTAAAGAAAAAAATGAACTAAAAAAAGGGGAAGTCATTTTGGTGATAGAAATTTGTAACAAATTGCACTGATTAAACAATGCAAGACAAGGTGTAGGGAATTTACTTTATTAATAATAGATGGTAGTTTTCCCAGCATGGGCAATAATCGTTGGTGTGACGTATCGAGGTGAATCAGACAAAAAAGCTAAACAAAAATCAGCTAGGTAGCATGACTAATCTCAAACAAATGATATTCAAACTACAAAAATATATTTTTGTTCATGCAACGTCGTWCGATTAAAACTTTTTAACAGTCCCAAAAAAGTCCCAAAGAAAAAACAACAGCATTTTATACAATGTCAGTACTATTACTAGCTGAACGCAACACTTTCTATTCATGCTGAACATGGAAAACAAAGAGAACAACAAKATTCGCCCCTAGGCGGACCTCAGGGGTCGTTTAAACAAAATTGCTTTAATCGGTCTAAATCATGACGTACTTTTCTATCATATAATATTTCTTTAATTTTGATATAGGATCRCACTTATTAGAAGCTTTAGAATAACTTTTTTTGGTGTAGTGTGCGCTAAACGATAGCACCAAACTTATTTTCAATTGGTGTATCTGAACATGGTTGCTATAGTGAGTGAACAAACATAACAAAGGATAGTAATTTTAGTGATAAGACGAAGTCATGAAAACCTTGTTTCATTACTCGCTGCAAAGAAAAAAAATCGGCATTCCATTTTATTATGATTCTTTCCACTTTAACAACATCTACGCCTCGATTAACTATTCATTGAAATAGTAAATTTCCATTAAAACATTATTTCTAGATAAGGTGAAAATAGCGCGCATGGATTAGCAAGTCTAATTTTCAATGTGGTGTTGACAGCTGAAATAGATAACGACCTGATTCGTTGAGTTTCTTTTCTCGACACAAATATATGGCATCTAATGAGACCACTCATGAGTGCAAAAACATGAACTCTTTCATTTCCTATTTGTGATAATCTCAGTAAAAAAACGTCGTCTTCTTAGTTGGTTTTGGTTGYCCTTGGCCTGGGATGAAAATAAGCTTAAATGTCAAAAGTGAAAAAGGTCCTCCGATCGATGATTACAAAATTTTGCTGTCACTTAACGAGCAAGCCGATGCTTTGTATACGTGAAACGCCTACTACATGAAGCGAAATTTTTATGAGCTGCACTTGACGAAAACTTCAACAACAAGCCCTGTTTGATTTAGCATGAGTGGCTAACGTACCCCCTTTTAGAGGGGTTTATTTAGTCCCTAAACAGCTCAATACGCCCCATACAAACCGAACTTTACTGACTATCATTTACTATTATTGCCTAAATTAAAGTCCAAGAGTTCCCATGCCCTTTTTTGTTCAGTCTCTTGACGAAAACATCCAGTACGTTCACTGACGTCGTGAAAACTGTACTGAGCCACAACTTTCTGAGCCGCGATGCTTCAAATTTCGCAAAAAAAATCGGTCAAGCGATGATCAAAATAAAAGATATCTCATTAATGTGAGCGATTTTGAAGAGGTTTTGTGCTAGAAAATATTAGATGATGTCTATTTTCTATCGATCTTCGTTAACTTACCTAAGAATAAAGTTGAAACGTTAAGAATTTTAAGCCATYGCAATTCTCTAAATAAGATTACACGAAGTGCTTACACAGTTTAATTTCCAAACAATAGTCAAGGAAATAATTCAAGTAAGGTATAACTATCATTCAAGATTTCTTCAGAATAAATTTCCAATTCGCGTAATCCGAAAGGTAACAAAAAAAAATGAGGAGCACGGAAAACTTGTTTTGAAAATATTCGCTGCAGTAAGCTAGGCTTAAAAATGAAGAACCAAAAACCGCACGAAAGATTTGTCAAGAGAAATATCTGGTTTTTCGCCAATGGAAGACTAAAATTGCAGTAAACTTGACGTTCAATTTTTCATAGAGGGATCAAATATAGAGGTTTGATCATAACGGGTTAGTTTATAGACTGATATAACTTACCAACAATCCAATCCAAATACCAGTGGCATCCTTACTTCCATAAGAAACAAACACAAACCCAGTAATGAGGTTCACAACAGCAAAAATAAGTATGAAAATACTGACAATGCCAGTAGATTTGGCATGACCCATAGATACTTCTCCCGCCATCTTGCCAAGATATTTGTAAAGTTAAAATGAGTGTATCAGCGAAATTTTTAGCACCGACCCACGCCTTCGCTAAAAAGCAAATTATTCAAAGTTGCTTTCGATGGACCTCCTTGGTTACACCATGCTCTCCTTATATGGCAAGCCTCTCTCGCCTAAATGAATAATCGTTTTAATTACGCATGCTTCATCGATATTTTTTTGCACCCTAAAGAGTTAGTATAAAATGATGTATTCACTATGATTGAATAGCCATTACGTAAAGCCTACACATTTACATGTAAACAATATTCGCTGAGTCATTCAAGATTATTTCATGATACTTACCTACTTCAAAGCTTTAATAAAACAAAGTTTAATTAACATTTGAAAAGTTGAAGAATTTAAACAATGTCGACATAACTAAAGCTAGTAGTTTATTTTGGATCAGTGTTGAGCTCAAAATTTCGATTACTGAGCTTATAGATCCCTAGTAAGTGAACCACGGGTCAAATACTTTAGTCAAGTCAGGCTGAAAGTATATAAATCGACCAGCAGGAAAGCGTCGGAGTTCGAGTGCATGAATGAGAAAGCTTGAGCCATTGAAAAAGACGTTAACAAACGGAAATGTTTAGCTACTTTCTGGACGGAGATTTTGCATGGAAACCTAACAGCTTCTAAYGTGCTGACGTCACAAAACAAACCAGGATTGTTTTTGCAATTTTCAGTGATATTGATTTAGCTCTTTATTTCGTTTTGACTAATTTGTGTTTATCTGAGTGATTATATCAAGTTTTTGATGCAAAAAAGATGACTCCCTCCCATGTGTAGACGAACTATTATGTGTTTACTAGTCTGATGAAAGTTATATGCTCAGTTCACATTTTCTTGCGAGTTCACATAGACATGCATTAAAATATGTAAAAAACTGCAATATTGGGAGCCATTCCTGTAGCACCCTGCTGAAAATTTCAAAATATCATGATTAATAACGTAACTATTAGCTTATTTATTTATTTTGTAAATAAAATGAAGAAAAAATGAAGAAAAAAAATCACCTTTAAATGATGGAAGTCATCTATTTTGAGATTTGTAACCTGCACAATGCTAAATTAATTAAACGTTTTATTAAAAGATTTACATAACTGCCATCGCCTCAGGGTAAATTTTTGTAGTTCAAGTTGCCCTATGATATCTTTGCCTTTTGTACGACTTTACCTTTCGTGCGTCTGATCACAGGTAGCCCAAGCACTGGACTTGGCAGTGAAGAACGAAAAGTTCGATAAAAGTGGTAAAACTGAATAAAATTATTTCAAACTACAACATAGTGTTCTTCTTATTTTTCTCAACACCCCTGCGAAGTTTCAGCTCATTATGGTAAACTTTCGCCTACTTATATATTATGACAAGTGTTTGACAAACGGTTTGATGGAGGAAACAAATATCTCCCCCTCCCCCATCAAAWCTTAAATGGACCTAACCCGGTCAAGTACTTTGACAGTACAAGCACCGAAAAAAAACTTGCATGTGACGTCAAAGTGGCTTATCAAAGATTGAGGAGGCAAAAAGAAAACATTTTCGTTCTCAGTTTAGCTAGATGAAAGTGGATTTCAGTGACAGACTACATAATTATTATCAAATTCACGTACGTACTCAAAGTACCTTTTCGTCCCATAAACGCATGATAATGCAGACGTAGTATTCATTCATTGAATGAGCCCTCGTTGTTGGTGAAAAAACCCGGGGGGGGGGGGGGGGTACTCGACTCCCTTTTTGGATAGGTACTTGCCCCCAGCGGTCTAAATCCCTGACCCTGTTTAAGACACTAAAAAGTGAAATTCCATACCCTGTTCAAGACAAATTGGAAAAATAAGAAATAGCAATCTGCGCCGCAACCATCAAAAGTGCAATTATACTGACATCCATGAAAGACAATAAAAAAGTTTTGATAACACAATAATCCTGGGACAGTGAAACAGTATTTCTACTATTTCTACGGTATTTTACCCTGTCTACTAAGACACACACAAAAAATTATATCGGTCTTTTATCCAAAGTTTAGAGCCTGTTTAAGACAATTTCCGGTTAAATATATACCCTGTTTAAGACAGCAAGGCCAAAAACCATACCCTGGCCAGCGGCACGTCCCCGTATAGCAAATATATGGGAATATCTCCCCCCCTTCCCCGGGTGAGAAAAATAGTACTTATATATTAGATAGTGTGGAGCAAAGAAATTTGCATTAATCATTAAATGTTTTTCGTGGTTTTGCTGTTTAAATAAGATTTGTGGACTTCMTGCATTTCGATTACTTGGTACATGAAATCCCGACTACATACTGATCCAGAACCATTCTGGTTAWGTACTTCTGATACATCGTTTCTTATGAATATTTAAATGTAATAAGTTTTAGAAGCGGATGAACGCCCAATTGCAAAACTTAAGTAAAAYATTTAATTAAAATGTTAAAAGTATGAAGAACGTTTTTATTAAAGATATATAGAACATTTGTACTTCTCACCAAAAGGAATTTGTCAAAAAGACAAATGAAAATAAAAAAGAGAAGATGAGACAACAACGACAACAAACAAAAAAGAGTAAAAAAATAGAAACAATTAAAAATAGGAAAAAAAGAAAAAGAAATAAATATTAAAATAAAACGACTAGAAATAACCCACAATGCCATGCTTTTCAGGGCGCGCCTTCTCTACTGGCCTCGTTCCGATGTCAATTATTCCCTTCTGCAAACCAAGATGGCGGCGGGCCAAGGTAGAGAGGAGCTTGTTCGTGGACAGGCTTTTGATGTAGGACCACGATACAGTAACTTGAGTTATATTGGAGAGGGAGCATATGGAATGGTGTGGTAAGTTGCTTTGCATTTCGTTTAATTGTTAACTTTGAGGAGTCAATGAAAGGGCGTTTGACACGCCGCTAGTCTCGTCGACGTCTACTATCATTTATTTTTCAGTTCAGCGAATGATAATAGTACAGGACAGCGTGTCGCTATCAAGAAGATCAGTCCATTTGAGCATCAGACCTACTGTCAGAGAACACTTCGAGAAATCAAGATTTTACGACGATTCAAACACGAAAATGTGAGTGTCTTTCCAACATGCACTCATTATTCTCAAATGCAAAGACCATTTTGCGCAGTAACTACCTTCGTTAGCTGTCAGGTAGTTGCCTTTATGTATGCTATTGCTAAAAAATTCGTTTCTTTTCAGATCATAGGTATTTTGGACATAATTCGTGCGCCGACTATACAGGATATGAGAGACGTGTATCCTTGGTTTTATTCGACTGAACTGTCACATAATCGTCATATTTTTGTCGTATTTCAATGTAACGTGATACTGAAATCACTTGGCGACGTAGTCGCGTCAGTTTTTTCGTCGCTTAACCATAATTTGGCGTTTTCTTGCTGTTTTACCTATTTGCTGCTAGCATGCTGGAACATCTTGAATTGAGCCATTGTTTTTTTCTTTCACTATGTCAAAACTACAAATGTATGTATGTATGGTAATAGAAGCTAAATTCGGATTATTAAATTTAGTTTATATTCACTTAAATATTTATCATATATGTTGCTTGTATGTTATACATGTAGGTCTTGTTAAGGTTTTTTGAGTGATCAATGCACTTGAGTGTACTTCTATTTCATGACATGGCTATAGATATTGTGTCTAACAATTAATTTTTATTATTTTAAACTGTAGCTGTCATATTATCTATAAATAGGGATAACAGATAACATGTACTGGTTATCTTGTTATTTTTATTAGTCACGCTAGTTCATTTAGTTCATATTATATTACATGTCAATCATTTGTACCTAGACTATATAATCATTTGTAACGACTTTTATTCTCACTTCTGAGGATGGCATAATGTAATGCTGAAACATGTTAAGATTAAAAAAGTATATCGTATTTTTTAAAGTTTTAATTTTTATTGAAAAATAAGGAAAGTGACCCTTTATATGAGAGGGACTATGCCATGACTGCTTTAATAGGTGTGGGAATTGTCTTTCTGAAGCTACATAATATCATAACTTAACCTTAAATGACACATTTAATCGAGGTGTTCTAGGTATGAAACAGCACAGCAATAGTTTATTATTATAATAGTTAGTATATATGACCTAAGGTCATTCCAACARAGTATGAATGACTTCATGCTTTGTTTCTTGATTTTGGCCATATCAGATATTCTTTTGTTAGGATGCTTTGAAGCAATAGACTTATTTACAAGCCTATTTTTGATCTCATAAATGATCTCCTTGGAATGTACAAATTAATGAGTGCACTCAATTCCTATTGATGTTATGGAGGTATTGTCCTTTTGTAAGAAGTTTACAACATTGAAGTCATCTCCATCTTGACAATGAAGATCAAATGAGGACTTGCTGCTGTGGGTCATTTATTTATGGTCAGAGATTTCACTGTCTATGGCATCATCAGAAACTAATATGAGGAAAGCAGCAAAGTAGATCTTTTCTTCATTTTAATTTACATGTTTTATTGATTCATACACCATTATATTCATCATGCACATACTCTGGCCATAGATGGTATACCCAAAGACCTCATTTATGCTACTAAAGGACAACCCAAGAAGATTGATTCATTTGCATTTTAATTAGTCACCTGAAAGCCGTGCATCCCTCTGCTCACTCTATTTGAGCATTTGATAGGCTGGAGGTATATTATTTGAAAATGAGGCAAGTTTGATTCTTAAGTCATTTGTTATAGAAACTAATTCTTTGTATTAAATTGGTCAAACAACTGGGTTATCAGTATATTGCAGTAGTTTATACTTTGAATCATAATTATTTATTACCATTACTGAATGATACGGGAGATGTGCATACATACAATCACATGATGATATTTACTTGTAAATAATACATTATAAGTTTCCTTAACAACTGTAGCTATATTGTTCAAACCCTAATGGAGACTGATTTGTACAAGCTACTCAAGACACAGCAACTTAGCAATGATCATGTCTGCTACTTTCTCTACCAAATCTTGAGAGGGCTCAAGTATATTCATTCAGCCAATGTTCTTCATCGAGACTTGAAACCAAGTAATCTGCTTCTGAATACTACTTGTGACTTAAAGGTATTYCATGTCAGACAGAGTATAGCTAGAATTAGGCAGCAAATCCATTTCAAAAATGTCTTGACTTTGTTAGAGTGCAATGACCATTGTGTGTTTGAACATCTTGGTGGGTATAAACGCTTTTAGCGATCTTTTTTATGCTGTGGTAGCCTCAAAACCATGTAATAAAGTCTTTTATCATATAATTATCTATGAAATGCCTATATCTCTCCATTTTGTAAACTTAAAATAACACATTTGGGTTTCTCTATATAGTGGACTCAAATAAAGTCAGATCTTGTTCGCAATTTGTTGCTGATAGCTACTTACAATATGTTGATCTCACCTTTGTGTATTCTATGTTTTTGTAGTGTCAAAGTTAATTGAAATATCTAGAAGCTAGACCATGAACAATTTAGTTTTGTCATCAAGTATACATGAGCTTAAAGTGTATAGAAGATGATGAAATTAACTGATATTTTGATCTTATTTTAGATTTGTGATTTTGGTTTGGCTCGAGTTGCTGACCCAGAACATGATCATACAGGTTTCTTGACTGAATATGTAGCAACCAGATGGTACAGAGCTCCTGAGATCATGCTGAACTCTAAAGGATACAGCAAAGCTATTGATATCTGGTCAGTAGGGTGTATTCTGGGTGAGATGTTAGCTAACAGGCCTCTCTTTCCTGGAAAACACTGTATCCTTGTCAATGATATGAAAACATTACTACTTATCATTGTTGCATGCAATTTCTTTTTAATACTCTTACTTAAGATATAAAAAGATTTGTTTCAAAATATTGCAATGGTTTGCATAGCTGGCATATAATTTGCTCGTTTCTTAACTTGTCCAAAATCAGCCATAATTTGCTGAAAGAATTGCATAATTTCATGAGCATCTCCTTTAAGAACAATAACATTATTTTATGCACAATCACTTCTTAACTCTGCTACTAGATCTTGATCAGTTAAACCTTATTCTCAATGTCCTGGGCTCTCCAAGTGAGGATGACCTGTCATGTATTATGAATGAAAAGGTATGTTCTTTGCAAAGTTTACAGAATAAGAATCTGTTCATAAAACACTGAATAACTCACTAATGAAAAGCGATTGATTATGTCAATCTGGATTTTTTTAGCCGACAGATTAGCTGGTCAGTTATTTAATACTATTTCAGTGAAAATTCTTTTGATGTTGATTAATAATTAATTGATCAATTGGCTTATAATTATCTTATCATGCAAATATAATRATTCATATGACAGCATTCTGCTGTGTTGCTGTCTGTTTCAGTGATATTTATGTGTCTATTTTTTGGTTCTAGGCCCGTAGCTACCTGAAATCTCTTCCTTATAAGCCAGTTGTGTCCTGGGGTAGGATTTACCCTAATGCAGAAGAAAAAGGTCAGAACACTTTCCATTTCTTTGAGAAATAAAATATTTTCATATAAATGAGCTCCATCTTGGAAAGCAATAATTGTAATTGCATTATACGTAAGCTTTGACCAAGTGAGCTTGTTTACTCTTAGAGGAACTAGAGTAGAGTCATTACAGGTTCACTCCAGGGAAAACCTCCTTTGCTGTCCCACTTAGATCTTCATATGAATGGCAGAATAAGGGTAGTTCACATACAATGTGCTCATATCTTTTACAGCTTTGGATCTAATCAACAAGATGCTGGCATTCAATCCCAACAGAAGAATAACAATTGAGGAAGCTTTAGCACATCCATACTTGGAGCAGTATTATGATCCCCAAGATGAGGTAGGGTGGCTTTCGAGTACTGTGTCAAAGTCTGTTTCAAGTTAATCCAGGGTTAACTTGGTAAATTTTTTAAGAGTTAACCAAGGATTAGCACTAATGGAGCTTTGAAAACTACCCTGACCAGATGAAGAGTTTGGGGAGAGTTTGTGGGGGCTGCAATTCTCTGTTTGCCTTCCCAATGATAACAATAGATGTAAAATACTAGCCTCCTTCGCAGGCTACTCCATCGGAAACGGACATTTTTCTCTTCTTGGTCTTCCTGTGTTCATATTCGTGACCGAGAAGAACTGGTGTCGAGAGATTAGGAACAGCCCCTCCCCCTCCAGCAGCTTTTTTGCCTTAACACAGGAATCCCACGGAGTAGAGTTGCCTGCGAAGGAGGCTAGTAAAATACAGTATCTCTAATTATTACACAACTTGAATACGAATCAATATTTTATCTTATTTACAATCCTGGATTGGCACTTGCTTAATGTTCTTTATCTTTGTTATGTTTACAGCCTATTGCTGAGGAACCATTCAGGTTTGAAACAGAACTGGATGATTTACCAAAAGAGAAACTTAAAGGTATATTTACAACATTTCATAATAGAATAACTAATTTGCTGTCTTGAGATGCAGTAATGATTGAATAAAGTTAATCATGGTTTCTATAACAGGTTATTAGTATTATTACTCGGGGTTCCTGTGGAACGCCGAGTATTAATTTCGGCTTTATTTTTTTTTGCATTCWTCGCCAAATCGCGGCCAGACTAGCCAGGCGTTCCTAGCCTGTCTTGTCTCGTCCCATGCTTCAAGTCCTAATCTATTGCATCAGCTTCTTCGTCGATATGGACTTATGGTATTTCTTCTTCTTCAAAAAAAATACGCTCAAATCACTCACAAGTACACACGCGGTATAGCCACATTAAAAGATGTCGACCGTTTKCGGAATGGGCTTTTTGAAAAATACCGCGAATTTATCAAGCTTATTGTGACTTAAGTTATGATACACAAGCCATTTAGGCTATATCCAAAGCCGACCAAAGCCAATCATAAACTACAGGCCTTCTATCTTAAAAGCTACTGATATTCAAAGCTCTAACTACTATAAAAGAACAATAGACTCAAGTGCCGATTGTCAACAAAACTGCACAGGTAAAATAACGAAGGATTGCAAACAAAGGATCAGCGAATGGTATTTGCGTTAGACCAAATCCGGGACCAAATGTCTGTCAAAGTAAGGACAATTCTTGGTCAACAATAATGATATTAATACATTTTCTTTTTTTACTATTTTCAATCCAAGGAAGGATTTTTAGTTTTACTTTATATTTGATAATTATAGTTTTTATTATTCTTTGCAATAATTGCGGTAAATTTATCAAGTCAAAATTATATATAAGTCTTAATTATTATGCTATCAACTGGACTGAGAATTTATTATATTTTTTGGTCACGGCAAGAATAAATGAAACTACATATTCTATATGTATCATTAAACCAAGAGACTACACTAAAAAGAACCCCGAGTGCACGCTGACAAGCGTCTTGTTTTAAGTTTTAACAATGYACAGAGGTTGAGCAAAATTAAGAATTCAAACATGTCTTTTCTTGTGAGCGTTTGTCCTATTAATAGAATGAGATTGAATGAAATAGCTACCAGGAAATGGCTTGCTTGAGCTATAATCCAATTAAATATTTTATTCTAAGTTAATCTTGCTTATTTTTTTGTGCAGAGCTAATTTTCCAAGAAACAGCTCACTACCCATCATCTGGTGCCTCCAGATCATAAGGTAAACATGTTACGTGATGGCTAATTGCAATTTAAGGAAGAGTTAGAATGGAATCAGTGGCTTGTCTGTCTGCATTTGCTTGCTTACTAGACTGCTTTCTATCAATGGATTGCCTAGCATTGTACTGTAGTTTGGCATGTTGGCTTGATGGTCAACAGTCGATATAATGTTATCACCAATCAGGCATCCAAAAAACTAGTAGTTGTCATTTTGCAACATAAAATGACGTCTTATGAAGTGGTTTTTGTAAACTAATTTAAGTCAAATGTGTCAAATTAGATATTTGTTAATTTGCACATTTTTCCATTTTCCATCCTTTTGTTTTCATTTTTTTTAATACCCTAATACTAAATGGTTGTTATTCGGACTTATATAATACTTTCCTGAAGTGTTGGCACACCTACTGTGATCTATTAATGCCTCAACTCATATTTGTCTTGATAGGGCTGGTGATAGCATTGATTGGTGAGACTGGTTGACATGGTAACAGATGAAAATGGCCTGAATAAATAAATCATTTTTAAAAGCTAATGAAAAAGGCTTCTATGTCAAAAAATATAGCGTATCCATTACAATTTATAGTTTTCATTACTTCATGTGTATTTGACACATATCCATGGAGTTTATAGCCAGCAAGCCCAAACCAAAGTTGATTTCATAAGCATGAATATGAAACGATTCTTTGCGTGTTTATCATTTATGTTAGACGCAATATGATTTTTTTGACTATATTATCAGATTGTTTTAAATACCCTAGTTTTGACAAGTGATTAAACTCAAAAAATTATTAAAATGTTGAATCCGAAGTAATTTCACATCCATCTATGTATTACTTTCATTATTGTTTTTGGCTTGCTGTCTTCTTGTAAAGAAATAATTATTTGAATATGCTAATCACTTTTTGTCCATGAATCATAGTTAAGAACTATTTTCAAGTAAGAAATTTTGCATAACTTTATCAGTGAAATATAATGTTTTGCTTTTGATTCATGATGAGTGCATTACAACATGAATGTACAATAAATGAACTTGATATAAATTTAATAATGTATGAATAGATTATAAGTTAATTGATAGTGCAATGGAAGCAATGTGGTTCAACATTTAACATATTCATGAGGCCGATATGAGAGCGATAAAGGAGTTTTGGCTCAACCTTCAAGAAGCAGGGATATTGTTTAAGGTGACATCAGAAAGGAACATGTGACAGTTACATTGCTGACTTGTGTGATGTATTTTCCAACTATACTTTCCTATTTAGTTCTCATATAGGAGAATTGTCTTGTAGGATTCATATCTGACCTTGAACTTGTTTTGTGGCTAAGAGATAACAGCTGATTAAGTACTCAAAGGCGTACAAACAATACTTATTATATCACCCTTCTAAACCCATAAAACTACCCTCCAAGGAAGTTCAAGAAAAGGTCTCATCTCAGACCCTTTGAGATGTGATTTTATTCAAATTAAATTGTACAAGACAAACTAGCAAATGCACGCTAATAATGAAATTTTGTATGTTTGAAGATTAGATTTAACAACAATCAATTGTACAATTTCTAATTTGGCTATTGATATGTGTATTAGCTATAAACACCTACTAGAGACAATCGTGAAAGTCTTGACTTATTGTACAAGAAAGCTGTGGTCTAGGAGAAGTCCAAACAACTTTTTTGTTCCAAGTAGATAATTATTGTATATAGGTAGTAGTTATTTACTTTTGTAGTAGTTTTGGGTGAGTTGTCCCTTCTCTGAGACAACTTCAATAAAAATATTTGCAACCTATCTAGGTTCTATTGAAATGACCATTGTCTTATTTGAGTGATGTCTGGGTGGTGGGTTGCATTGTTAGTAAAATGTMCAAAATAACTTGTAGAGTTCCACTTTATATATCCATGAAATAGTTTTCCTTGCCATAGGTGCAAATTGCCTACAGCAGTTCAAAATCATCCCTTGTATTATTTAACTAGCATTCATTTCTCACGAAGTATGTTATATAAAAAGTTTAAAATCTGAAAAAAGGTAAAGACTTTACTGCAATGCCTTCTTGCAGGCAGTAYTCCGTTGCACAAACTATAAAGTGCTATATATATTGGGGCCGAAATTACCTAATACAGGGGCGAGTTTACTTGGAAAGACTGAGGGCGAAATTACCGTAAATCTAATGTAGTCAATGCACTATATTTCACTATCTAGTTATTTTGTATATCGAGATATAAACTGCAGTATAGACATTCAATGTAATYGTAGGTAGCAAGTTCAAATGTAAAACATCTTTTGGTGAAATAATAGTAATAAATAAACAGTCCAGCTAATTTCACGACTTCAATTTGCAATAGATTGAACTGTTGATTAATTAAAGTGTTTCGGTGCAGGAATTTATTTGTCTGGGCTAGTTACATAGCAATTAATACCATTGTCAATTTTTGGTGTTGTTTAACTAACTGATTGTATGACTATAAAGCAGTTCATGTTTTTTTCTGGATTGGCCGCATGGTAGACTCCTTTTCATCTGTTTCTGGTGTCAGATCATCCATCCTCATTAATCCACATTACYGATCCAACACCGGACAGGGACATTAACTAGCCTAGTAACATGGGCATGCAAACAARGTGATGGTCATTTAATCCCAAAATCATTAGCAATGAAAAAGAAAACAAACAAAAAGGCCATCTTTATTTATAACAAACAAACATTGGATTACATGTTTATATAATGAAAGCACAATTGAGCACAAAGCATCAAACTTGAGACCAGAACATTGTTCCTTACGTCACAAATCATCATCATCTCAGTGCAATCAGTTGGTGAGCCTGTGCAAAGATAAANATAAATGGTTGGTGAGCCTGTGCAAATATAAATGGTTGGTGAGCCTGTGCAAAGATAAGTGGTTGGTCAGCCTGTGCAAAGATAAGTAATCAGAGCAGATAATTGATGATTTGCCATTTCAAAGCAATATAGCAATATCATTATTTCACAAGTTTGTGTTTTATTTAGGATTTTTGAATCTAAGAAAACATTTTCCATACCTTACACAATCCTAAAGTTGAGCCTTAATTTCATCAATTACRATGGACGCTTCTGGGAACTTGAGCTTACGTGGTGGACCTYTTTTGATGCCGGACCACAGCACAAAATCTATAGGAATGGTTCAGAGGAGATGTATGATAAAGGCAATAGTAACAGTTTATATTGATATATTATCTTACTTTCCATCCCCTCCCTGCTCTACAAGTACAACTGTACAGGTTCATGGCATACTATCCACAACATTGTTGCGTACTGTTTAAACTATTTTGACAACGATTGCTGGATGCCTTTAGGCAGAGTTTACCTTGTTCCTCTTTAGCCCCCTCGTTATTCTTTACCAAAGTGATTTCAAAACTCTTCGACCTTGGTTTAGTTGGGTTGAGTGTAATTTGTGCGTTAGGAAATGCCTCCTTGATCTCTGCTGAGATTGATTTGGCATTTCTCTTATACACTTGTCAGGAATTACTGCAACAAAAATAATCACATTAAGTTAACTAACGATCATAAAATAATACCTGAAGACTCGGTGAATCTAGGTGGGTTCAGACTAGAGAGAGMTTATGAGCATTTCGTACTCTGAATTTTATAAGCTTATTGACATAAAAGCTTATTTTAGGTAGATTTTTTTCAGTTGGACAGACGTATTATGACAAATGATTTTATACAGCAAACTTCTCGTCAACTACATGCAAGTAATTAGATTTGATGCGTCAAAAGATCTTCGTGTGAACCGGGCCTATACATAACAATAGATTCAGAAGCTTGAAGCTTGATAATACCAGACATTACCAGTGTTCAATAACAACTTTTAAACATTCGTTGTTCTCCTTGCCATCAGCAGATTCCTSCTTAGCTGCTTTAACAGGACTTTTATCTGTTGCTTCAACACTTTCAGCTTTTGCTTTTCGCTTCCTACGAGGCGCCATATAATCAAATTCTCGAAGACTTTCTCCTTTTAATCACTGCCGAGCGATCCGGAGCGATCTCAAGGAAATCTCCCGCCAAATCTAACAAATGTAATATAAAACCATCCGCCATTGGGTAACTCGCTAAACCAATCAAATCATTTGAAATTAATTTTATGGGCGAAGCTGCTGAACAGGATTTCGCCCGCGATGTTAAAATGGCGGATGATGTTATTGGGAAGAGGGTTTCATATGACGGTTTCCGCGGAACTGTGAGATACTTTGGTCAGGTACCGCCAACAGCAGGTAAAACTAGTCATATCGATGTCTCTGTAGCATTTKTTAATACATATATTTCTGTAAATAACACTAGAAATCCTAGATATATATGTGGTCCAGGTTTCATATGGTCTGTCAAAAAAAATGTCAAGGAAGGTAATTGTGATCGACTGTCTATTTAATTTGTTTCAGGAGAMTGGYTTGGTATTGAGTGGGATGATGAAAATCGTGGAAAACATAACGGAACTTTGGATGGCGTTAACTATTTCACCTGCAGGTTAATAAGATATGRTAGTAATACTAATACTATTAGTGTTGAAATATATATAGCTAAGGGACGACCCATTTTAAAAGTGATGGGGGGGATGGGGGAATTTTTTTGGGTCATATACTCCAATATATATGCTATACTGGGACATGCCGCTGGTCAGGGTATGGTTTTTGGCCTTGCTGTTTTAAACAGGGTATACATTTCACCCGAAATTGTCTTAAACAGGCTCTACAATTTAGATAAAAGAAACCGATATAATTTTTTTGTGTGTCTTAGGCGGGGTAATATTTTCATAAGAAATACCGTAGAAATAGTAGACATACCGTTTCACTGTAGCAGGATTAATGTGTTATCAAAAACTTCTTATTGTCTTTGATGGAAGTCAGTTTAATTGCAATTTTGATGGTTGTGGCGTAGATAGCGATTGCATATTTTTCCGATTCGTCTTGAACAGGGTATGGATTTTCACTTTCTAGTGTCTTAAACAGGATCAGGGGTGGAGACTTACATTTTTCATGTTAAATTGATATTTCACTTGTTTGCTTCTTTCACTCGTGAGATGTGAATTTAATACCCAAGAGTAAAATCTATATCTTCCATGTAATATCCTCTATAAATTATTTTTTTGTTATTTTCATATCAAGCCACCCCAAGAGTGGCTCATTTGTGAGGCAAAAGAAGGTTGAGTTTGGAGTTCCTGTGGTAGATGCCTTGCAGTCAAAATACAGTGATGATGTACAAAAGCACATCCAAGATATGCAAGTTGTTGGTAAAAACAAAGTTACTCAAGTAGAGATGGTTGGAGCAGAAAAGGTTTTGTCCCAGCAAAGGTAGATATTATTAAAACTGGTGAATGGTGAATGAGTTTATATTTGGCAAACCATTCTTAAAATGGCAATTTCCCCTAKCACACTAGGTACACTTTATGATAGATCCCAGTAGCTCCCTAATTATTACTAAAAGGGGCAATCCATGATTTTCTCAAAATCTCCCCCCCCCTGAAAATTCTAATGGATCACCTCGAAGTGATTTTAGTGGAGTGGAGAGCAATGACAGAACACAGAGGACAAATCGACCTTCAGACAGTAAAATGATTATCTAACATAAAAATATTGAAAATTGAAGGCCGGGTTAATATGTTTTTTCTATCATCATTTGGTGAACCAAATAGTTGAATGAWTTAGGCACATGAGAAGTTTGCTGTATGAAACAGTTAAGTTTAACGTGATTGTGATATGCAGTGGTATTCACTGACAGTTGTGTTTTGTTGCCTATAAACAGCTTCCAAATGAAATTAAAWATTTAAGGCTAATCGCAATAGGCCACCATTTAATTCCAACTTAATATGTTTTTCTTTTATTTAATAGTTGTTTTCAGAAGCTAAAAGAAGTCAGTTTGAGTAATGCAAATGTGAGAGGACATCATAAAGACATATCTCTTCATTCCATTGCTCCAAGTATCCCTGAACTCTATACTGCAATTTTGAAGACATACAAACTCCATTACTTTATGTTTTACTGCCATCAGTCAAACTTTGAACTTCACCACATACTACTTCTGATACTTCTTGTGAAATTTATAAATAATAATAATAATAATAATATGTGGTATTTATATTGCGCCGATATCCTCTGAGTTCAAAGGCACTTCACATGTATAGATCATTTCACATTGGCAGCCACGCGGCTTACAAATTGGCAGTTCGGTCAAGTTCATAGTTTTGATTGTATGAATGTTAGCTGGACACGTATGTAGTGAATACAAACTTAAAATATTCTTCTTCACGGTTCCCTATGCCATCTTGAAAGGTAGCCATGCCTTTACGTCGAAGTGAGACGGCTGTTGAGTGTGCAATGATAGATACCTGTGAATAATAGTCTGTAGATGTGAAAGAAGGTTTCTATCATTGCACGCTCAAMGGTCGTCTCACTTCGATGCAAAGACATGGCAACCTTTCAAGATGGCACAGGGAACCAAGAAGAAGGCTATATTACTAGATGTATGTTGCAAGTTATTATTCTTTAATAAAATAAACYGTCCAGATATTGTTGAGCTAGATTTATCAGGAAATCTGTTCTCTTCCTGGGAAGATGTGGCCAGGACAGTGCAAAGTTTAAAGAATTTAAAAGTTCTTAATATCAGGTTAGCAGCACGCAGTATTCAATTAATAAGACAATGGTCATGGC